TTTTAGACCAGAGGTGAAGCCTGACGAGAGAAACTATGATGTTTTTGTTTTATTGTTCACTCTTTTAAAATTATAAAATACAGGTTTTTATGGGAAAAAAATTGAGAGAGAGAGACCAGTGATGGATTTTTCTCACCTTACTATATATCTTTATTTATTTGTTATTGATACGTGTGAATTAGTTAAAAATGATTTATAGGGATGTTTGGGTGGAAAACAAACCACTGTTTTTAAAAGTGATTTTATAATATGCAAAATAAATATGTGAAAGAATTTTATCTAGATTTATATAAAAGAACATTTTAAAAGTTATTTTTTATTGGGGTTGTTTGGATATCCCCAGAAGTGTTTTTTAAAAGCATTTTTTCACAAATTAAAATAAAATTATTTACTTTGTATACTGTTAAATTATTTTCAAAACTATGGTTTGGTTTTTATTCAAACACACTCATATACCAAACACCCCATGCAATAAGAGTAAGCAAGTCTCATCTCAGTTTATCTATCTTTCTCTCTCCTCACAGGATTAACCCTAATGTAGGTGAAGATTCTTGGAGTTCATTAAAATTAAATGCACACATTGTTGTGTGGCATAATTATAAAAAGGGATACAATATTTTCAAATTAGGATTAGGCATTGAGAATGAGAAATTAAAAAAAGTCAATTGAAATAAAAGGGCTTACGGCTAAGATCAATCCCTACTCATTTTCTGGGCTTTTAGGCTTGAACTTATATGCCAATTTGTTGCTTTTCTCACTATTTTTGAAGCCCAACGTCATCATAAATTGGGGGAAAAGGAGATAGGCTGAGTAGGAAGTTTATATGAAATAAAATAAAATATTTAAATAAATTAGGGAGGATTATAAATTAATATTAAAATATTAAAGTGACCCTTTGATGAATTAAACATGCAAAAGGTGTCATTGAAGATTGATACTTGAAGCCTTGAAGGAAGCTCCAGTAGCCACCTACTGACTCATGACTTCTCATCAGCAGTAGTATTTTAAGATCCGCATGGACTCCCTGTATGAAACTCAACAATTTATCATTTATAAATAGCATAACTTTTCGCAATTTCTAATAGATATTTCAATTCAATAGATATATATACATATATATTGATGATGATGTTGCAATAAACAATACAATGATGTGCTTATCTCGTGTTGAGGAATATAGAACATGAAATGACAATATTAATGTTGCATTTGGTACGTGGAAAATAGACTCGAAGGAAGGAAGAAGTTAAAAAAAAAAAAAGTATTCTTTGTTTTTTTGATCCCCTTTGTAATTCAGCATCTTCTTGCTGGTAAAAAAAAAAAAAAATCTCAGCATCTTCTTTAAATCAAGGTTAAAAATCCTCTCGACGAGAACTTTTTTGAAATTTAAATTTATATATTTTTTTCCTTAACGGTGCCATCTCAACCCATATTTTGATAATAATATAAATATTTCTATATTACTATGCAGATGCTCCTTCCAATCCTCATTATAGGAAGCCTTTTAAAAGAAATTCTCAGTCCATTTTATAACATGAATAATATTGAAAATCATTTAAATTTCATAACAAGTGTGATGTTTTTATACGTTTGTATTAATATATATGAATTAACTAAAGGCGAATAAAATGACCTACTTCAGAAAGAAAACTTTCCAATTTGCCTTTCTCATTCTCATTTTGTACTGAACAGCTCACACGTGGAGAGTTCCAGTTCCAATTCCAAGTTCCTAAGAACCTGATACTTAAATTGCAAGCACAAGAATAACGTCCCTGAAGGTCTTAAATTGCAATCTAATTTTAACGTGTTCAAGAAATGGTCGGTTTCAATACCAAACATAGCACTGAGCTTACTAAAGATATACCATCATCACCAATGCCTCTAAGCTTGGCCATATACCCTGACTTAAAAGCACAAAAAAGAAGAAACTGTTTGCAAGTCTCAAATCATAAAGCTTCAAAAGTTCATTCTGATATTCAAGATTAACCAACCAGTAACAGCACAGGATTTTGAAAAGGTCATGCTTCAACCTGAAGAAGTACGAGGACTAGATCAAATATACAAAACATCTGCCAAGTGGGAACTAGGAATACAACGACCCTGAACTGCACAATTTACAAAGTTATTTCTAAAGAGAACCCACTCTTTGTCAGCAGCTTGCAATTTAACAAGCAACTACCAAGCTCTTGAGAGCTTCCTTAATTCAACGAGGCTGGTGAATTCTTCGAGGAGCACATTTCAAGTTGACATGCTGTGGTGGCTTCTCAAGATGCTTTGCAAGCCCACCTGCGGACTTGGGACTCTTCGGTGATGTTGGTGCAGCCAGATTCTTCAGAAGAGATTTTGTATCCACATTCATGCCTGAGTAAGAAACAAAAACAGAAAACGAGAGAAATATAATTACCGTCTCAAGTAAAAACCATCAACTGAAGGAAGCAGGATCATGGGAAGTGCCAAGATCCATCCAATTGAGGTGATTAGTCTAAAACTTGAATGCTACCACCTTATTCGCCCAGTATGGGAACGAGCATTGTGCTCAGAAATCAGAATTTAGTCAATGTTTATTCAAATTTATCAAGTAGCAGCTCATGTACAAAAAACGGAAATATATATTTCATCTCATTGAATCCTTAAAACTTCTTCACAGTTTTCTCAATCACATAATTCTATGTTGCAGTAGTTCCGTCCTAGTTAAAACTGAATCAAATCACCTTTCAATCGTCATTTTAAAACATACAACCTCAAGGCCAAAAATTATCATCAATGCTTACCGTTAAGAGGCCTTGTTCCAGCATTAGGATCAGTCCAAGCTGGGGAATCTTTAGCTTCAGAGCACATCACAAACTGCTCAAACTCATTTTCCAAATCTTGGATGTCTTCTTCAATGCCCAGATCCAACATCTCTGGCAGCATATTCTCAATCTCGTCAACTGTTGTGTCATTGGCAGTTTCTCCAACATACTCATCTTTGTGCTGGCTCAGCCAGTAGTCCCGAAACCATGTAGAATTTTTCACAAGATCCCACCATTTAGGTGAAAAATCCTCCACCTGATGAAGAGCAGCGGGAATGAAGAGAGGAGCATTTGGGTTCAAACCAGAACTTCTTCCAGAGACTAAAGCCATCTCAGCTTGTCAGCGATTACCTGATTATTGAAGATCACAATCTAAAATGTCAGATTAACACAGAAGATGAAATTTCAGCAAATAAACTTTAGTCACTTATTCATCAAATGATCGGAACAAAATTATAGCTCACGAAGGACAACTCGGACAGCGTATATGAAATCCCGTGTTCCGTTAGTAGTAACAGTCTATTGTCTTAAACCCGCAAGCCACATAGTTACAGCCATCAGAGAAAAGCAAAAGAAATGAGATCAACCCATAATCATCATCTAATACATCCAATAGGGCAGCGAAATCAAAAACAGATGCAGTTCAGAGCATGACCGGAACATCCCTAAAGTCAATACAAACAGTAGCAGAAGTCTCTCCCTCTCTCTGTTTTTTTTTTTTTTTAGGTTCTCTTCTTTAATTTTCGATCTTGAAAATCCAATTTCGCACCGAGGAAAATGGCCAACCGACAGATCAATGGTAGATCATCAAAGAATTTCATTCCTACTCTGAATCAGTATTGAAGTATAGAAAACCCAAACCCCTCCCCCCCAAGAAAAACAAAAATCCTGCTATAAACACAAAGCGATGATCCAAAAATTGAAAACTTCAAGAGATCATGGCCGTCACGATTAACACAAATTCACATTCGACAAACGACAACTAGAAATTTCACTGAACTTCAAGGGAAAAAACTTACAAAAAACACAGAGTGAAGATGAAGCTGCGCTTACCGATTCAGAAGAGGCTAGTAGAGCTTCCACTTCGCAGTAATGTGTAAGTGAGTTTCCTTACAAGATCCCTGAGACAGAATGATATAGATGCAGAAGTTAAATGGATAAAGTGAAAAGGGACAACCTATCAGCTTCGGAATAACGAACCTGAGGCTCGGAAAGGAAATAGTTATCTACTTTAAAGACGTGGCATAAATTGACAATCGCGAGACGAGCAAGGTGGACGGTCAAGGAAAAAAGAGCAAGATCGGACGGTACGGATGAAGTCTCTCCATGAGATATTTTTTTATATAACGTGTCAAGATAAAGATAAGGGCGGCTCTCGCAGACAGAACCACGTGCAGCAGGGTGCATAGAATTACGACATTGAATTTATTATTTCATTTACTTTTCCCTGAAATGAAAATAAATATTCTGGATACTCAATACATTATTTTAAGGGAACTATAATAAAGTCTCAAAAAAAAAACTAAAAGTTCTCAATAACAATCTTAACAATTTATAATGATAAATTTTACAGTGAGAATGATAATTTTAAGATTTACTTTTTAATTATTTTTTGTTTGGGATTTCATTGTAATTCTCCTGTCATTTTTAATTATTGTACATTTATCATTATAATTTTATTTCCATGATATATCTCGCCTATTATTTTTTAATTACATTTAATATTTTTACGGTACTGAAAACATTATAAATAAAATTAATATAGTTGGAAAATAAAGTTAGGGGCTAATATATCCACCATTACCTTGTTTTATTCCTCATCCTTCCCTCCTATATATAAAGTACAATTAATAAAATTCTACAGCTGAAAAGGTTGGTTTTAGCTAAAGATAATAGATAGATAAAAACATATTTTGAAAATCTAAAACGAGTGAATAAAATAAAAAAAAATGTGTAGAAAAAGAGGAAAGAAAGCGTATCATGTTATGAATATAATAATATCTTTATGGATGTTCATATATCTCCCTTTGTCTCCTATAATCTCTAATATCTCTCATTATCTCTATATCCCACAATTATCTCATATTATCATGTAATCTGTAGATTCTATCAAAGATGTAAAGCTGTGCCTAAATAGAGGCCATGTATAATGTATTGTGTACTCTTGAATGGAATGAGAAATACTCTCTCTTATCAATCCTCTCTTCCTTTGTATGATTTTTCTCTATTTCTTCTTTATTCATAACACGTTATCAGCACGAAGCTCTAACCAAGGTGCGTATGATATACTTTTCTATTCCAGCATAATTTTAGAGCATCATCTATATTATTTTTCTGGAGTATCTCTTGCTTTGTTCAAATAAAAATATCTTGAGCATCACATATATGGGTGTTCAGAGTATTCGTATTCCTATTCAATTTATCTAGGATAATCTAAGCCATTATATAGAATTATAAAAAAAATTATCTACTGTTGTTTTAAACATCGGGTTCCATGGTTATGATTGGAGATTTTTTTTCCCCTCTATTTCTTATTGACCTGATGTCACTATTTCGATGGAACCCGAAGTTCCAATGGATACTAGCAGTATCTTAAAAGAGTTATCATCTAAAGTTAAATGGCCAAAAGCCATATAGTTCTAAGTTCTTATCTTATTGAGATTAAAATGGCTAGAAGCCATATAGCTCTGATTTTACATTCTTTTCAAATTAAATGGCTAAAAGCCATATAGTTTTGATTTTCTATATTATAGCCAGAAGCTATACAACTTTGAGTTTTTATCTTATGGCTAGAAGCCATATATATATGGTTAATTCTCTATTTTTTTAAATGACTTGAAGTCATATATATTTGATTACTGTTATCTTATTAAATGGCTAGAAGCCATGTAATTTGAATTTTCTATTTTATGGCCAGAAGCCATATATATATAATTTTGTTTTATCTTATTAAATGGCTAGTTGCCATATAAATTTGACTTTCTATCTTACGGCCAGAAGCCATAGATATTTGAATTTTTTTTTATTTCATTAAAATGCTAGAAGCAATATAATTTGTATTTTCTATTTTATGGCCAGAAGCCATATATATATTTAGTTTTTCTTTATTTATATATATATATATATCATGTTGAATTTTCTATTTTATAGCCAGAAGCCATTTATATATATTTAAATTTTCTTTTATCTTATTAAATGGTTCGCATTCATATAATTTTGATTTTCTATCTTATGACTAGAAGTCATAAATATTTAATTTTTATTTTATTAATTGGCTTGAAGCCATATAACATCAAAGTTTTATCTTATGGTCAGAAACCATATATCTTTAATTTTTTTTTTGTTTATTTTGAAACTAAATAGCTAGATGCCATGTATTTTATTTTCTTTATTAAATGGCATGAAGCCATATAGTTTTGATTATGAGAAGGATCATTATATGGTTTGTTTATAAAAAAAAATTATGATAATTAGAATTATAAATAATGTAGCCCAGAAAACTAATGACTATATAGTGAAGGATGTATTGGTAAAAGAGTTTATTTGTTCTTTTTATTTCATGTTACATTTAATTAATTTGAAATTCAAGTTTTATTTTTATCTTATTCTCATATATTTTTGACATTTAATTTGACATTTATTAATATTATAATTTTCTTATTAGTAAATGGCCAGCAGTCATTACGCTCATGTTATTGAATGACATGAAAATAATAACTTATGATGTTTTTAAAGCCCTGAAAGCTCATGGTTTAAATATGAAGTGACACAAATGATTTTTAAAAATATATATAATTTCCAATATAGAGTCTTGAAAACTAATGACTTGTAAATAGCCCTGAAGGCTTATAATTCAAATCTTCCTAACTATATGGTTTGGTTTTAGTCCTTATAGATTTTTTTTGTTTGAATTTATAAATTTATGGATAAGTTTTGAAACATTACATAATATATATAAAGAAATAAAGTTTTTGAATAATGAAAATATTGAGAAAATATAATATTTGTTAAAAAAAATACTTCATATTTTGGGAAAAAAAAAGGGTATAACAAAAAGTGAAGTATATCATATAGTGAAATAATAATATATTTTAGTTCCTGAAGAATTATAATAGCATTTTTTTTAAGAACTATATGTAATAAAAAAATTGATATAGTTCCAAAAGGACTAATAACAAAAGATTGATATAGTTCCAGAAGAACTAATAGCAAAATGTTGATATAGTTCCTGAAGAACTAATAACAAAATCAATATAGTTCTTGAATAACTAATGTAGTGCCCCCTTTTTTTTGTGGGCAGAAAAGGAATTGATAATGAAAAATTATAACCCACAAACATTTATATGAGAATATTTACTTATTATAGGGTCTTAAGGTGATAGCTCAATTGGATTTAAATCTATTATTATATATAAATCAAGAAGCATTTGGATTTCCAAGTTAAAAATATGTTATTAGCTTACTATATATTATTCACTGTATTTGAAATACAGAAATAAGAAAAATATATTTATATGACTCACACTTAAGGGGGAGATTGTTGAAATACAAGTGTGAATCATGTTAGGTGGAATTTGTTATTATTAATATTAATTTCATTCCTTATATCTCATGTTCCTTTTGAAAAAAGCCCCAGAAGAGCCAGTAGCGCTCAACCTTCCATGAGTGTACATGTTTCTACCATTTGGGTAAAAGATAAAAACTAATGCTCTAGAAGAGCTATATCATTATTTATTATCCTGAAGATAAAATCTATAATTGATAACATATTCCTTATGAAATATTAAGGAAAATAAATAATGATATAACATGGTAACAAGAAGTTTATCAATAATTGAGAATAATTTTACAATAAACCAGAAGTTTATGCATTCATAGTTTGGCATGACCGGTCAGATCATCCCGGATCATAATGATGCAAAATATCATAAAAAATGTGTACTGTCATTTATTAAAGAACCAGAAGATTCTTTAAAATGATATGTGATTCCAGAATTTTTATGTGTTGTTTGTTCTCAAAGAGAACATCACTAGCTATGCTCAAAATCGGATCCGTACAGATTTATAATGTATCAAATTTATATATGGGCCCATTTAGACACCATGTAGACCAAAGTAATACTCTATAAGTGAAAGATGCATCTATAAAATGGTCACAGGTGTTTATGATCAACTTGCAACCTGAAGTTTGCAAATATGTTCAAATAATTACATTAAGTACATAAGTTCTTGATTATGAAATCAATATAATTCTTGTTGAGATTGCTAGTGATTGTTCCTCACGTTGCTGATAATTATATGCTTAGTAAAAGCCTCTATAAGAAGCTAGATCAGAGTTTATGAGAACAGAATTCCTACTTGAGTGTTGGGATGATTGATTTTATATATTTTTGCACATAAATGCATCAAGCCAACAATGTATTGTGAATTCTCCCATTATATTTGCTTTTGGTCAGGAGTCAGACATTTTTCATCTTAGAATATGCAATATTTATTATTCTACCGTAATAATGGACATAGGTGGATATTAAAAGTAAGTGGATATTGGCCAACAGAAAAGAAAAGACGCAATATTATAATAGGAGATTTGTGTATCTCTAACCCAAACACCTGAAGTGTAAGGGGTATTTATACAAGAAAAGAGAAAGAGAATCTTGTGGTGAATTAAAACTTTTATGTATCTTATCAATCTGGCAGTTTGATAAAATCTCATATGCGTCTAGAAAATACAGTGACTCACTATGTAGTGAAATTATATGCGAATCCCAGAAGGATTCAAATTCTTGCATAAATATAAACGATCCAATACATGAATAGATATAGATCCTAATGTATGAAAATTCTTGAAGGATTTAAGTTTCTAGAAGCATACAATTATGTTCTCAAGAACATCATTGAAGTAAGTCTCTATATGAGACATATGTGGTTAATATCAACTGAAGGAATGTTGTAAACTTATTCCAATTTGTCTATTTATGAAAAGATTCAAAATGAGTCTGTTATCGATACTATTTATAATGATAGTATCACAACTCCTAATGAGTTTTCAAAAACTGCAAATTACTTAAAGAAAAAGTTTGAAATAAAAGCTTTGAGAAGAATACATATGGATAAATCACATCCATTATGCGGATAAGTAACCTCCATTATGTGTTTCGGTAGTTGCAAG